GGGGGGGGGGGGGGATCGTACAGCATTCGAGATTGAAGAGGAACGTGAGAAAAGTTGGTGAAAGTTATTCGGTACTAGAGAGCGAGAGGAATCCTATGTCAGAGTCAAGATGCTGCAGCCAATGTCAGTGACTCGAGTGTGACCTTTATTGCGAGAAGGAGAAATTGGCAACTTATTTTTACTTATTTACAGTCATATTCAACATTTAATGCAGATGCGAAGTGGAGAATAAAGTGGAAAACTTTCAGCTGTTGACTTTCTAAACAGTTTCTTGATAATTGGGGGTTTCGTAATTGAGTGAATGAGTATGTGAGGATTTTCTTTGATATCTCAGTGGAGATTACGAGGTGCTAGTAACCTTGAGGATATTTTGCTCCGGAAAATGCAGGTCTCGCTGTTAATTCGAGTCAACTAGGAACTTTGATAAACAGGAAGGAATTAGTGAGCGCTGAGCCATTAATTCCCATTTCCAGGAATTCAAAGTGACGGAAAATTCACATCAAGTGTAATCTTTATTGACATTCTAGGAAATTTCGTCATTGACAAATATGACATTTTTTGGTTGTTGTCTCACCTAATTATGAGACAATCATCTAATGTATATGTCGATTCAATTAGTGGAATTTGGAAAAAATTTGAAAGTTCAGATAAATATATCCGTGAATATCGAATTCATGTCAGACTGCATTGAAAATTCAATGGAATTTTGAATTTTTGAGCAGCAGAAAGACGCGGTTTCTCCAACTTACCTGAAGTTTCATTCAAAACTAAAATATTCAATACGAAATTGAATTGCATTTCGAGTTAATTAAAAACTGACCGAAACTTCCCTGTTTTTTACAAATTCTCATGGAACAATTCACTAGTGAAGCGGTAAACCGGGTTAAGTCGATTTTGACTTTTGGGCATTTTTTGACAAATATCTCGGAATGTAAGAGAGATAGCAAAATTTTGCTCATTACCTTTTTTATAACCCTCAGTTGGCTCTACAAAAAGGTCATGACAAAAATTTTTCCATCTCTTTTAGATTCCCAGATATTCGTCAAAAACTGGCCAATAGTCAAAATCGACTTAACCCGGTTTACCGCTTCGCTACTGAATTGAACTGAAATTTACAGTTTCCGATGATTTTTTCTTGGAGATTTGAATTTTCAATGACGAAATTTCTAGAAATTTTAGTGGAACCATAATGTAAGACAAGAATTTTCAAAAAGTGTACTACAAACTTCACCCATAACGTTTTAATAATGTTGAATATTCATGTTCAATTAAAAATTCAAGTCAGTTGTGAAATTTCAGTTTTATCCCTCTTTTAAACCGATGAATTTTCTTGAATTCTAGTTAAATCTCAGAATTTCATAACCGTATCCCGCGTGAACCTGATCAAATGTCGCTCTCCTAAAAACGACACATAAACTGTGCGTGAAATTTCAATTTTTTACTAACAACATTCCAAACGTTTGACTTCATACGACTCTTCTACTTCGTCCGCTAACTCTCGACTTCTCGTCCATAAACTAAGCGTAACTAAATACTTGAAAGATTGGCAATTCCAGATATAAATCAATTAAGATAAACACGAGAATGTAATATGGTATACTAAATGTAAATGATAGTGTAAATAACTCACAACATGAGTTACATCACTCTAAAGCAATTAGAAAATAAGCGTTAAAAAATGATAATTAATAATTAACAATTTCAGCACATAATTAAGTGCTAAAGTTTCTATTTTGAATCATCAACATATAATTCTCTATAATCCGAGCAAGAAATATTGAAATCACATGGACAATCGCCTGGTAATTTTCAGGCGAGTGACATTGAATGCAATGAAGCGGAGAAAAATCATGAAATTTCAAATTTAAGACGAGGATTCCTCAACGTATTTAAATTATTTATTAACTTCCCGATAGCGGAAGTTATTGTAATTTATTTTATGTTTAACCACTGACCATCGCCCGAGGGCCAACAGCCAGATGTTTACAGAGTTGTATATAAGCATTGGTCAATAGGCAGAAAAATTATGGTTAAAGTATTTAAAACATATTCTCGATTCTTTCAGAAACATTTTTTTGGCTATTTTACATGAACGATGAAATTTTTCATTAAAAAAAAAAACAAAAATATCTGTGTAGGAGTTGAATTTCAAAAAACTAACTCGTAATTGTTATTGCACACATTTTTTTTAATCGTGAAAAAAAAACCTCCGTAGCTCAAAAAATGAAGGCCCCGGACTATTTTTATCATTTTATGCATCCGCGGGGCAGACGAACAATAACCAATTAATTTATTTGTCCCGATTATTCGTTTTTAAACACATAATCGATCTTTAATGTGCGAGAAATCCCGTTCCGATAACCCGCAACTTTTAAAACTCATAGTAGTCTCCCCTTAACCGTCCGGCAATTGGCCCGTTCTCCCTAATCATTTCATCCATAAACTTGTATATCGAGTGTTTCGACATACTATGCGACATTATCATTGATTATAACCTCGAACATTGCACCGCCAATATCGAAATATTTGAATAATCCAGGTGGAGTACCATTTAATCATGATGAATACGCGATTGAAGCAGTTTTCAACGAATTGTACTCAAACAATATCACCGAAACAATGAGTGTTCCAGTGATGAGTCACCCGTTGCTATTCAAACAGCGATTGGCCCGTTCCCTATCTGCCGCCCCTTCCACGACGCCAAAAGAATTCCGAAATGACGCTACGATGGATCTGCTATCAGTATTAGTTCTGGTATACCAGTTTGTGCGTTTTACACTCCACCGGAGAGCATCGCAGTTCAAATCTATTTCTCAATATCAGGTTTATCTGACTCAATCTTTATCGATCCGACATGTCGATCCATGGGAACCCAACGATTAGCTACACATTCCATGATCCGTACAAAAATCGCTACTACATAACCTACGTTACTGGGGATGATGCAACGAGATTACAAACAGGTGAAATAAATGTTCTGAGATGAGAGGGAAGGCGTGAAATATGGACCGTCATGATATTGGTTTCATACTGGTGGAATTTTCCACCAGAATTTTCGAAAAGAGGAACTATTCTTTAGAGGGGGAAATTTCACAAATTTTCGAATCTTCATTGATTATTCCCCGACAACGGATCACGAGCAATGAGAATGCGGTATTTGGCGTCACGTGATGAACTGGAAGAAGGTTTATACCGAATATTGCGAACTAGGTTTGAACTTTTGGACATTGCACACGCGTTTTTTTATTCTAATCAGAATTGTGACTTCAAATAGTGCATTCTGCCTGGCCGCGAGCTCAAAGAATAATCCGACCTGCCCCTCAAGGCTCGAAATTATTCGATATTTTCCTAGAAAATTAATTTATAACACTTACCTTATTTTCCAATAATTACGCGACTGGTAAAAATTCAAAATTATTCAATAATTTTTTTCTCATCATTCATTTTTATCATTGATAGAATTTTTCTTTTCGTGTATCAGTGATTTTTATAGTGCGTTCTTGAATGTGTAAATGTGATGCATTTCCCTTTTTCATTTTCGTAACCAATAATAATACAGAATAGGATTTTCATGGAAAAATGCGAGGGAATTGTAAATTTCAGTTCAATTATTCCGGGAAATCAATGAAAATTCAGAGAAATCTATCCTTGATTCCAGATTCTTCTGAATTTCCGGGAAAATTGGCAGTGATTATTCATGCATATTCACTTCAACATTCATGTAAATAGTGGAATGTTTGTCTTTCTGCCGCTAAAAAATAGGGACTCTAGGTGAACTGAGACACTTAAAATTCAGAGACACTTAAAATTATTGATAAATACCTTTATTGATCGTAAGAACCGTCTTCTCACAAGATGGAAAAATCGAGTTCGGGGGACGCACAATCCCCGTTTGGCCATGGCTCGCGTTAAAAGCCCCCACACGGAGAGAAATATTCAATAAAAATTACCAGAAAAAAGACGTAAAAATTACGTTTCGAAACGTAATCTGGGAGCGAAGTAAAATTCAATAAAAAGTGTCAATCGTCACGTAAATTCTACGATCTGTTCCGTAAAAATTACTCATCCATCTGACGCCTTACGGCTAGCCATGAGTCACCGTAAGGGGGAGATTTTAACAACACAGTCCGTAATTTTTCCGGAACTTTTCGTAAAAATTCTTAAACATCCAAGAATTTTCATGTTCTGAGGCATAATAAATCTTGAAGTTTCTGTTAGATTTTACAACTTCCAGAAAAATTACGTGACTTTTTCGTATTTTTTCGGTGACAGACCCGAAAATTTACTGAACGTTTCAGATTTATTCTGTTATATTCCTACAGAAATTCACTGAAAACGATTCTCGCTTGCGGATTACGTGAAATGTTCCGTAATTTTTCTTGAATATTTCTCTCCGTGCATTTAACTATTTATAATCTCCTAGACTGTGCAGTACAGTTAGTTAGCATATTTTTCAACAGCTGAGGACTGCCATAAACATTATCTATGAAAAACATGAGGCCAATCCTAAGAAAAACGTGTTTTCTAGGGATACACCTCAACACCTGCCCTTGCCCTATCTTATCTCTACCATACAACTCTTCTCAACATTCATGATATACAATTCCAGATACGCAATTTGCCACAGACGTCTTCTACCGCATCAAAAGTATTCAGGACGTCCTCCAAGACGCCGGAGTAACCAGTGCAAGGCCATGTGCTCGTCCATCGAGTAATGGACAAATACACGGTCTCCCGAATCAGCGGATCGTCCATCTTCCCTCCGCTGGATTATCCCCGCGATGGTTTACTTATTACCCTACTCCAGTACAACGTTTCGTATATCCTCGCAAGAAGAAACATTATATCCCCTTTCCAACCTTCTGATACACAATACCAAAAGTGCCCAAGAATGTGATATTTCACAATGTATTTAACCTAAATACCTTTCCACCGCAAATAGACAGTGAAATGGTACAATTATCCGGTGAAACTTATTAAATTTAATGAATCATTATAGTTTTACGCCGGAATAAATCATCAAATAATCGTCCATGAGTGGAGCCTTCATATACACGAACAAATACCTCCAACTTTCTCCAAAAATTCCCCCATGAAAATCAATCTCCCATGGTGCCACTTGAATTGACTCGTGTGCATTGTGTGGGCCTTCATCAATTTTCAAAAACATAATTTAACCGATTGAAGCCAACACGCGGCCTTTCCACGCACATATAACGCGGAATGAAATCAATTAGCATTGCGCACACACGATAATTCAGTTATAACATAACCCGGAACAATAATAATTGGTGCCGTGTTGAAAAATTTTTCACAGCCCTATGGACAAAATAATTTGGCAACAGATGCGCTCTGCGTTTTCCGAGCCCATCCGACCAAGAATAACCGGGCAATAGCAACGGTAACCAGGGAATCCCCTTTCCCCATCGCTTTACACACGTACGCTCCCACACTGTCGCCAGTGTCACCAATGGCGCCAGAGGGAATAACAGGCGAAACAAAAAGAAATTATATTTATTTTCATTCAATTCTTCACGTCGTGCAGAAAGGGAAAAAATTGGCATTTTTTTGTGATTCAAGGTGTCTATACACCCAAAGAAATGGTTTATTAGAATTCAATGAAGTTTATTTGAATTAAATTAATGGGTTCAATCAAATCGTTCGTTTGGATTGACATTGAATAGATTTTTAAATATAAAAAAATGTTTTCTTTTTATGGCAGAAGCAGGCTTCATTAATTAGGAAATAAATCGTTCATTAAAATGTAATGTTCCTTCACTTTGATTTAATCAATTTTTGGGTCAAGTGAATAAAGGATTTTCATTGAAATAAATATATGAGTTTATTCATTTGCAAAGAGAATGTTCTTGAAATGAATAGAAAAATTGTAAGTGAAAAGTCTTGGAATTTTCATATTTTGCAATTACGCACTTACGCTTCCATACTGTGGCCAGTGTCACCAATGGCGCCAGAGGAAATAACTGGCGAAAGAAAAAGAAATTATGTTTATTTGCATTCAATTCTTCACGTCGTGCAGAAAGGGAAAAAATTTGCATTTTTTGTGGCTCAAGGTGTCTATACACCCAAAGAAATGGTTTATTAGAATTCAATGAAGTTTATTTGAATTAAATTAATGGGTTCATTCAAATGGTTCGTTTGAATTGGCATTAAATAGTTTTTTAAATGTAAAAAAATGTTTTCTTCTTAAATTAAATCGTTCATTAAAATGCAATATTCCTTCATTTTAATATAATGAATACTTTATTTGATTCTAATTGACAATATATTCGGAATAAATGTATTATGTATATCAACCGATTAAGGTATTTTCATTGAAATCAATATATGATTTTATTAATTTCCAAGGACAATATTCTTGAAATGGACAGAAAAATTAAGTGAAATGTGTTGAAATTTTTATTACATAAAAACAACATATCGTAGATCGCGCAAACTAGTTGTTGAAATTCACCAAATAATTTTCTCCGTGTGGTGCGCTCTCACTCGGTGCGAGTCACTACCGCACCTCCTGACATATTTTATTATTGAAAGATTGGTTAATTTCTTGAATTTTCTATAAAACTGTCCAGGTATAAATTTCCGGTCGCATGGACCGGAAATCCATACCTGAGTAACGACTCGTCTGAATTCTCAATCGATTGAAAATTCAATTAAATGTGATGTTCAATTCTTACAGTGAATTCCAAAATTCTGCCCGGTGACTTGGCGCAGTGAGTCAGATCGTTGCCTCACATGCGAAAGGTTCTGAGTTCAAAACCTGGCCGGGTAATGGTGAGATCTAACCATTTAAAGTCTTGATCATCATCGCAGCGTACCGCAATCGGTTCGAAGCGATGTAAAATAACGATAAAAAAAGTTCCAAAATTCAAGCCGTTATTGAAATATTGAGGATTTCTTCAACTCCCGTGATTCATGGAGTTCTGTATTTTTCACCATGAAAGTTTCCTCGGTGTGTGTGTCAAACCTCATTGAAAATCATCGAGTCGTCCCACTCAAAATGAATGCTGAGTCGTGTCGCAAATGTTCTTGAGGCAAAAAATGAAAGGCGCGAGGAACTTCTTTCTGAAAATACATCCAGGCGGAAATCGTTAGAATGAGGTGTTTGAAGCCATATGTGTAGACACTAAAGGTCACTTTCGTAAGAGTTTGAAAGCGAGAGCACTCTCAAACACGATCGCCGTTGGCCGCCTTTACTTCTTCTGATTTATAAAGGCTTTTAGTCGGCGCACAGTCACCGGCAAAAAATCACCCCCCGCTGAGTGGCACAAGTGCAAGTTGGTGCGGGGTCCTAGCATCGCGCTTTGGCCCCTTCGAGATAAGCTCTCAGAGCGCGACGTTTTCCTGACCGAACTGTGATACATATACATCAACGATACATTTGCACATGAACGAGGCGGTGGGGATTCTGCAAATTGGAGATATTGAACTGGATTCTGAGATCATCTTTCTTGTTTGAGATGTTAATGGGATTGGAAATCGCCAGTGGCGCCATCGGAAAATCAGAGCCATCGCATTAGAAATGTAATCAAAATTGTTCATTAATTCAATTCAAAGAATGTGAATGATTACTCAACGTTTAGGAATTTTTTCTGAAACGGAGAACAATACACAAAGAAAATCTTTATATTTGAGACATTTGCAAATCTTAAATTGAGACTTTGAAAAGTCTCTAGTTGGTACTTGGAAAAGTCTCAAATAGAGACTGATAAAAGTTTTGAACAACGGCTTTCGAAAGTCGAGACTTTCAAAATTCAACTTGGAGAAAAATTTCAAATTCATTTGTGCACGTCTTAACTTGAAGCATTAAGAAGTCTCATGTTGAGTCTATGAAAGTCTCAAATTGAGACCTTCGCATGTCTCGAATTGAAACCTTGAAATCTCAACTTGAAATCTTCCAATTTCAACTTCCAAATTTATTTCAGTTGAGAATTCCAAAAGTCTCAAGTAGAGATTGAGAAAAATCTCAAATTAAGACTTTCGAAAGTCTTAAGTCAAGACCTTCAAAATTTAACTTGGAGAAAAATTTCAAATTGAAATCCGAACGTCTTAACTTAAAGTCCTAAAAAGTCGCAAATTGAGACCTCCGCAAGTCTCGAATTGAAATCCTTGAAATCTCAACGTGAACCCTTTCAGTTTCAACTGGAAACATTCAAAAGACTTAAATTGCGATTTCCAATTCTCAAATGTAGACTTTCGAAAGTCTCAACTTCAGAGTTTTAGGTTTCAAATTAAGACTTTTGAACATTTTATTTTAAAACCTGTGAAATCATAAATTAAGGTATAATTTTTTGCTTACCACTGAAATTTCAGGAAATCTTGTCATTAAACATTCAAATATCCCATTGATTTTCTGTTTGAATGATCTGAAAATCAATAAAATACGTGATTTTTCAGTTCAATTATTCCGTAAAAATTCGGAAAAATCAGAGAAATTCAGGGAAAAATCGGAAATTCATGTAATTTTGCTTCTGAGTATTCATGTTCCATTGAAAATTCAGTCAAGTTATGAAATTTCCTTCTCACTCCCGCTGAAAACTCATTAATTTCCTTGAGTTCCACCTAAAGCTTAAAAATTCCCCACCATTGTCCCCCTAAATCGTATTCAATGTCACTCCCATGAGAATTACCGCCATATCTTCCATAAAATTTCACAAAATTCCTAACAGTGTACTCACTATCCAGGTCACAGATTCCTTAAAACCCGTCACATGTCCCAGAAAATCAAACATTTTTTTCAGTATCCATCCGATAGCGAGCGATAGTTGATTCGAAATTAACTCCTACAAACGGTCGAGATATCTACAATCCAGACGGTGTGTGGGGAGACTGAGGAGAATAAATAAGTGAGAGAATAAATAAGTGAATGAAAAAAATGAGAAGGAATGAGGGAAGCGCCGAGGGTGAAGGAGAAAAAGAAGACGTCGAGAATGGTTTAGCCACGGCGGGGGGGGGAGGAGAGTCGCTGTACTGAGCCCAGGGTGACGGCTATGAATTTAAATTTCTCTAATTAGAAGGCGCGCGCGAATGCCGGCGGCTGCTAGAATAGGCCCTGCACTCTCCCTCTCACTCTCGCCCCGTTCAGTCTTTACTCAGTTCCCTTTATACACACGTATACACACCCACTATCCTCAACGGTTGGCAAGTACTCATCGTCGCTTGATGGCCGGGGCGGGGGGGNGGGGGGGGGGGGGCTCTGATACAACGCTGATGTCTCTCTCACACCTCCTCGAAAACTGATGAGAAGAGGGTGAGTTGGATAAAGAGTGGGAGAGGGGAGTTACACCCGCATATCGTGCCAGAGAAACGACGCAACTTGAGCATACCCTACGAGGAGAGAAACCACCTGACTGAGATTTGTTGCTTCTCACGTTCTAACCGAAATTTATTTGACGCTACGGGACCCATGGGTTAATTAACGGCCAGCCGGAGTCCACGTCTGCAAAATGCAGTTTGTAAAACAAACTATGGTCAACAGTATTTTCATTTCTGTTGTTTGGAAAGAGGCTGACTTACGCTGCACTGTTAGAAAATTACTTCTGAAATTTCAAGGAAAAAATGGTGACATTTTTCACTATCACTCATTCACAGGAAATTTTTATGTATTTTGTTTGAGGGGCTACGCACTCCCGAAATCACGTGAAATCGCCGAAATCATTTTCGAAATCATCTCCGAAATCACACGGAGAGAAAAATTCCATAAAAATTGCCAGAAATAAAACGTAAAAATTACGTTTCGAATCGTTATCCCTGAGCGAAGTAAAATTCAATAAAAAGTGTGAGTCGGAACTGAAATTTTGCGAATCGTCACGTAAATTTTACGATTTGTTTCGTAAAATTTGACTACCCGTCTGATGACTCACCGCTGTGGGGACAAGTAGTTCCGTAATTTTTCCCCAGCGATTGAGAAATTTTATGGAACGAAACGTAGAAATAACTTACCATCTTCATAAAAATTGTTGAACGTTCAAGAATTTTTGATTTTGGAGGCATAATAAGACGGAAAGTTTCTGT